TAGATCTGCCAGCTGTCGAGATCAGTCTACACACAAAGCTAATATTTCTGATGTGCAGAAATAATAAAACGCCCACCTCAGTCTAAGCATCATTGTGACTCTAAGTCAAGCATTTCAAATGACAAACAACTACAGTCAGTGTGACAGACCACAATCAATTCAAAGACAACAGACACACCTTTAAATGTGTCAATCTGCTTATATCTACTCTGAGCTCCAGCTGGGGTATGAAATATTGCCTACACTACAACAAASAAAACAGTAACAAGATAAGAACTGCCAATGTCATAAGAAAACCAACAGAACCGTTCATAGGAGTTAAACTCAACAGCTCCACAAGGAAACCCAGAGCTGCAGGGAGCACACAATAGTGCATGAAGGTACTGAATTCAACAGAATAAAGCTTCTGCCTTCTCCTACCCCACCCTGCTGACCACAGGACATTGTTATTATGGCACGGAATGGGATTGTGTTAACCAAAAATACAAAGCAGGCAAAACGGTACCAATAAGGATATGAAAAACTCAACACTCCCCTCTACCCCCTCAACCGAAACACTTTTCATGCAGATGATGTTTCTCAAGACAATATTTACACATACATAAGATATGATCCCTATTCCACAGCAGCTTGTGGAATATAGTGTATACTATTTATTTAGATGAGAAAGAGATTTCCAACTTCCATTTTAAACTCAATATGAGAAAACATCACYCACAAATCAGTAAAAAACTCAGACAATGCACTGTGCTGACCACAGTTATGCCTGAGAAGCRACAGCCTTCAGAGTGCTGCACAGAATTCTGTCTATAATGGAGAGACAACAGATAGTCTTTAAAATCCCCACAGACCAGTCCACTTAGGTGATTCCACTTTGGCTTTAACTATTTACCTGTGTTGGCTATACCAGAAATGACTGTAAATATAGCCTTTGTTCCTGTGGAAGACATGCACGCACAAAATTTGAAGACAAAATCACAACCACAGGCTCATGGCTACAGGTAGCAACACATCTGATAAATTTCAGCTTCCAGGCYGGAAATATATATTGACATAAAGAATGCCACACTGACTCAGAATGAAATTACAAAGCAAAATTTACATTATATCAATTTCTTTAAAGTATCAGCATAACGGTTAAGTGCTAGCATCCCTTGTCTCAYGCAAAGTTCAAGTAATCCTGGATACAGAATATAAAGCAAATAAATTTGTGAAGGAAGATTCATATCTTTATCTAAACACCCGAACAGGAGACCATTAATCCTGTCATGAGCAGAGGGAAAAATGAACTTTGTCCACAGCCAATTTGGAGCATCTAAATTAAAACTCACAAAGATAGCTTCCCAGAAAGTCTAGCAAATGGCATCTCCTTATGAAGGCCAGTTCTTTCAATATATTGGTGTCCAAAGTTTGGCAGCCATAACTGTATTTATTATCCTTTGGTTGATACCAATATGCATAGCTGGGAGTACAGATGAAAGGATCAGGCTAGTTATTCAGGCATTCAAATGCAAATTCAAGTMATCAATACTTAATTTGCTCAAAAACAGACAACTTGAAATAACAGGCATATTCTCACCATGAAAAACAAACCTATGCTTGTTATGAATCCTGAGTGGACCCTGAGTCAATAAGTGACAGCATCATTCCACAGGCGTTAAAGGTGCTGTGATTTAAAACATGAAACTGAAACCACACATTATATTATACWGACAAAATATGTCAAAAATAGTGTAACAACTTTACATATTGAAAAAGGTGTCAGGGATGCAATGTGAATCATTGACCTATTTGCACATGCACAAACAGAAGTCCTGCAAATGATTTCTGAAAAGTACAAAGCCATATTTTATAAAAAAAATGGTCTGCATTAATTTTTAATAAAGAATACATTCTACTGTCCTGCACACCTAAGTTACAGCAGCTGCTTGTGGTTAACTACACTTGCAAAGTAAGGCTATTTCAAGGTGTTCTAATCCTCCTGCTAAATTTGCTTACCCATCACAAAGACCACTTCCTTGGTGGTACCACTATAACCACAGCTCTACACGAGGAAGTAAACAAAAAAAATAAGCCAATTAAAAAAATCCGTGAGTTGTTAAGACAAGGAAACTGTCTGAGCTGAGTTTTAGAGCTCAAAATTTTGTAATTCCATATGAGGATAATACAGTGTTACAAGAATTGTGTCAGCAAATCTGAGTGGTTAGCGGAAATGCTTTACTCAGTGTTACAGCTAAAGACATTATAAATACCAAACTATGACTGAAATCACAATGAGTGCCAGGCAAATGTAAGAATATTTTTGCCCAAGGACAYTCCTGCAGAATAGGGTCTGTAATTAGGATATTGCTATGCTACAGATAAACACAGCTGATGCAAATCAAAAATCTAAGTTATGTATTTAGGTCACTTGTCTTTGTATTTGAATTAAACTTATCTATTTTCACCAAAATATCTTTTCTTCACTAGTTATTCCACATGAGCAAACTTTCTWAGGAACTTTCCCCTTTTGAGTGTCATCTGAGAAGCTTTTGCAGGTGCAACCTAATCTTTTTAAGAACTAAGTATTTATTCTAGACYAAGGCCTTGGAGTGTAAACCTGTCGGTTCATGCTGTCTCAGGTTTTATTAGTGCTCCCAGAAATTTTTGGTGATAAACTACTGTAGACTCATGTCAATATAAGTCTTTAATTATTTTTTAGAAAGGGAGAAAATACAATTGCTTCAAGAAGTTTATGACAGCAATTTAAAAACAAATAACATCTGAAATATGCTAAAACAAGTAATGAAGTACAATTACACACTTTTCACACACTTCAAATAATATAATCTATTTTTCTACCTATCCAGCATATATACCATTATTGAAGTTAGACTGCACACAGTGGGCATGGAAGATTAAAGCAACAGTTAAGTTCTTTTCTCTAAATGATAAATTTAAGTGTTTTCCCCTACCACCTTCTGCTCCACCCTCAAGCATCACAGTATTATTGTACTTACTCCCAACTTAAAATCATCTAAGATTACTGCCCCAGAAGTCAGTGAATAACTAGCAAGAATTTAAAAGTAACTACACTACCTGGCAAGAATTTAAAAGATGTATCTGCCTGTCAGATCTGAACTGTGGGTTCTTCTGACTCCCTGAGATACAGTGACTTTCAGCAGAAGGATGACAAGACAAAGATCAAAAGGACAAATCCTGATACTGCAGAAACTCTGCATTCGTCTCTTTTTGCTCCTCTCGCTATGGAGYGAGTCCTAACCTTGCGACTAATTGTTGTGAGCTGGCCTAGGTCCACACTGTTCCACATCAGCATCACTTGAAGCAGCCTGGCCGAGTATCAGCTGGAGGCGATTCAGGTCCAAGCTGCACTGTCAGAAGCAGCTTTTTTTTTTCTTTTCAGAGGAATCTGGTCACAAAGTAGCACACGCACTGTGGTATACTAGGGACTCACGGAGCCAGCACAACTGACTGTGTAGGTGCAATGTTCACATAGATACAAACAACAAAGTCG